ATTTGATTCCGACTATTCAAAAGAAAAATTACTAAAAATTTTTCAGTGAAACCTTTATGTGTGTTTCACACAAAGTGATCAATTACAGATTGAAATTTGTTTCGAAGCCACGAAGAGGTCGCGCTAATACCGGTAGGCGTTCTTTTTGTCATCAACATATGCCAGCCGAAGGCAAAGCAAGGCAAGAAGGACTCCCAGGATGCGATGACATATGTACGTCCGGAATTATGGATTGCGGTGAATCAGCAAGAGATTGTCAAGATGTCACAGCACCACTTTTCGAACAACAGCTGCGATGTTTGATGGACTTTATCTTGAAGCAATGTTTGGTACATATGATGCTGTTAGAATATGGAACTATTCTGTTGAGTAGCAAAAAAGGGGTTTACCGCACGCACACATTCTTCTTTGGATGGGGATGGTGGTTAGACCAGATCAATTTGATGAAATCATTTCTGCGGAAATTTCCGATCCAGAGATATATCCAGAATTATACGAAGCAAGTATCAAATCGATACGTGAACTGCAATAAAGAGCTTTGTAGGATATTTACTTTTGCAATTCATGAAAGTTTTCCGACTGTTGTACGTCTCGCGCTTCAACTTCATTTGAGTCATTGCGTATTGTTGGTACGGTGTGTGAAACTTTTTGAGAAACATGCCAGCAATTGCAATTGCTGAAACATGATAATCACTGGAGACAAACGATATATAATACTATGCGGTAGCGCCTTCGTAAACCACTGAAGTTCGCACGCTTTTCATGAAGATCATTTCGACATATCAGCCTTCCCTCGCGTCAATTACGGGACATGAAAAGAAATGACATTGTTGAATGACGTAAGAATTGGAAATGGGCAAATTCTGGCTGATACTTCCACTGGTTTGATATCAATTTCACCAGCCTTTTTTCAATTCACTTCAACGAAAGATGAACTCATCACGAATTTTTATCTGCACGTGCACGTGCAATTTTAGCTTCCAAAATAAAAATGTAATGACTTAAACAGGAAGAGTCGAAGTCAAATTTCGGGAGGTTTGCGTTCGTACACTTAGCAATGAAGAAGCCGTGAATTATCCAGCGGAACTTCTAAATTCTTTGCAGAGGCTTGGTATGCCGCAATAACATTTGCGTCTCAAAGTTAGGTCTGTCATTATTATGTTTCCCACTCTTCATGCGCCGAAACTGTATAGACTGATTGTGACGCAGTTATCGAATACTAGGGGACAGCCATTTCAGTTCAAACGTATTCAATTTCCAGGGAAAATGCATTTGCGATGACAATGAGTGTGGCATAAATCTAGAAATGCTATGTTGTTCACACGGCCTGATATACATACGTGGCGTGTTCACGAGTTGGAAACGCATCTTCTGTATACATTTACGCACGAGGACAGAAACCAAAAAATTTTGTTTATCAAGCTGCGCTACATTACATTTCACGCAGGACAACGGCTGCAGGGTCAGCTAGTTCGCAATATAAATATTTCAAACATTCCGTTGCCTTAAAGTTGGTAAATGTGTAAGATATAAGATATTTTCATCTATAGAATTATCTCTATATACTACATATAAAAATATTCCTTATTTTAACAGACTTAAAATTAGATGGAAACCGTTCGGCATGCTTTTGGACCGTGCAAAAAGCTGCATTGAGCAGAAGGAAACTATTTTGAATATTTTGATTTAAGTCCTGTTTACTTTGGAATGTATCTTGTATAATCGATTTTTTTTGTAATGAGTCATACATACACTTTTTTTGTATCTCATTTAGTAGCAATATTAACAGGTAATCGATCTTTGGCATAAAATAATTAAATTAAAAAATCGGATGTTTCCAACGAAAATAAATACTTAATATTCGCAGTTTTATCTCAGTATGCTTTGAGATATGTAAGATACAGAAAAGAAAGGTAAGTCCACTCAAATATTAAAATTTGTATACTGGAAGAGATTTATATTTCTGCTAAAACGTTTAATAGGTTCCTATTTTAATTTAAAAGAAGTTAGATTTTGCCATCATACTTATTATATTGCGTATAAGTATACGATATTTATGTCCGAGTTCAAATACCAAATTGAATTGAAATTGAATCAACTCACAATCACGTCGATTAGTACAAGGAAGATAATTGCAAAATTAAAGATTTCTTCATTTATTTTTTTATTTTATCCAATTAAAAAAAAATATCCAGAACACTAAAACCGCTATAACTTCGGAAAGAATTTGAGAAACCCTTTCAGGGAGATATTTTTGAATATCAAAACTATTGAATTACGAGTAATAGTTGAACACTTAACGACCCAATTTAATGATTTCAATATGCACTCACACTCGCGCGAGTGTTTCAAATGAAAAAAAGGTTTTTTATTTAAAAGTTACAATTTATTTAGAGTTATCGTTTGTTTACAGTACTATGTTTTGCGAAAATATCTCGCGTAAGATCGAGATAGAATGCGTTGGATCGCTGTAAGTCGGTGCAGGCGGAACGATGATAATCGAAGTGTATGTGTCGAATTGTTTAGAACGAATTGTTTAGTACGAATTGTTGTGGACGTAACAAGTTTCCTATCCTGCTCTTCATCATTTTCGTTTAGTGGTACATATGTGGAGAGTTGTGTTGTAGTAATCAGCTGTGGTGAATTGCGCTGTTGCATTAGGATGCGCCAGTTTTACCGGGTACAGGGGGTGGATGCTTAACTCATTTAAACAATAGTCTTCTTTTGTCTTTCCAAATTTTAGACTAGAATACCCCCTTAAGTGAAGCCGATAAAAATAATTCTACTTTGTGACAAAAAGGGACTATAAATAGATGCAAAAAACAAGTAAGGAAGGCTAAGTTCGGGTGTCACCGAGCATTTTATACTCTCGCATGATAAAGCGATAATCGAGATTTCAGGCGTGATTGTGAACCGATTTCACCCATATTTGGTGCATGTCATCAGGGTGTTAAAAAAATATTATATACCGAATTTCATTGAAATCGGCCGAGTACTTCCTGAGATGTGGTTTTTGGTTCATAAGTGAGCGACGCCACGCCCATTTTCAATTTTTAAAAAAAGCCTAGATGCAGCTTCCTTCTGACATCCGATTTCTTCCATTTTTGAAATGTGTATGGAAATTCCTAAAAGAAACGACTCTACACAGTTTGGTTGACATAGCTATAGTAGTTTTTGGAGATATGTACAAAAAAGTTAGTAGGGGGCGGGGCCACGCCCACTTTTCCAAAAAACTAGCCTCCAAATATGCCCCTCCCTAATGCGATCCTTTGTGCCAAATTTCACTTAAATATCTTTATTTATGGCTTAGTTATGACACTTTATTGGTTTTCGGTTTCCGCCATTTTGTGGGCGTGGCAGTGGACCGATTTTGCCCATCTTCGAACTTAACCTTCTTATGGCGCCAGTGCACCGAGTATCATCATGATATCACAATTTTTACTGAAGTTACAGCTTGCACGGACGGACGGACAGACGGACGAACGGACAGACAGACATCCGGATTTCAACTCTACTCGGTATATATAACCCTATGTCTGACTCTTTTAGTTTTAGGACTAACAAACAACCGTTACGTGAACAAAACTATAATACTCTCTTTAGCAACTTTGTTGCGAGAGTATAATTATACATATTATCACACAATGAATCATATGGCCATCATCATGGCACCATACGCGTATAATTTATAAGAACATAGAGTATTTTATCACAGTACTAATACCATAATGTGCAAGTTTAAGCGCGCTCAAGGCAATAATTGTAAAACACCTATTGTATTATAATATATAAGCAGCATTCATCGTTTAACATTTAATGATAAAATAATCAGTATGATATTGAAAAATAACAAATCTTGCTTCTAAACAAAAGAGATGAATCACAAACTGGATTAAAGAAAATTCCCCCCAAAGGGCGATAAAAAATTGTAGAGTATAATTCAGAGAATAATATTTGCGTGCAAATAAGTGGGAGTTTACAAATAAATACTTTTATTTTATTACATTCAGGCGGTAATAATCGTCGACTGTGCATTCGTGATAAAAATTTTACACATAACATATAAAATTAAACAATAACAAACATTTACAAATACTTTTTAAAAATACGGTTTTTCTTTACGCTATCAATTCGAGACAAAAGCTGTTTTATTCTTTTTGTAAATGAACTCTTGTTCCAGTGTGGTCACTGACGCGTCCAATTCGATAAGTTTCTTCGATCTCCTTATGTTGATGCCGTCGTGAATGCTCAGTATAACTAACGTTTTGAAGCACCTTTCTAACGAAGCATTCATAAGATTCGAAATGGACTATTAAAAAACTGCGAAGTATTTAAATACGAGTTGTACATTTTGGAAGAGGTGGTCGACCATTTTGGAGAAATTGGAAATGTAAATGACTAACCAGAAAGAGGAAGGAATCACTAATCATCTTACAGTGAGGACAAAGATTTCGTTTGCCTGTTTGAGATGAAACCACTGTCCAGTCTAAGAGTAGTTAAAAAAGTATTTAAATTAGATGTAGTATTAAACACAGCTGTACTATACTTAAACCTTTTTGTAATATCTACAGATGCGTCAACTTTTGTATTGTTAAACCCCTTCATACGTGTATGTCTAAGAAAGGGACAAACATAAATTCAAAAGGGTGTATCTCTCTTCTCATTAATTTGGTTTTGAGGTGCTTCATAGAAAAATTGAACACCGTTAGAAAGATAAAATTTTATAAAAAGGTTTTACTGAAAAGCTTCACGGTAAAAATAAGGCAACGATCCGAAACATAGAAGTAGATTCTCTACCCAATGAAAACAAGATTAGATTGTCCATTACAGTCACCAGACGCTAATCCAATATAGAAATTTTGGACTTTAATGGAAGCCAAAATATAAAGAAAATATTAAGGAATGGTTCGGAATTCAACAACTTTTACTAGTTTAAACAAGAAAATTATTTATTCGTTTTTTGGTTATTTGAGTTTCATGCATTTACGTTTTACTTCTAGAACACTTTCTTTACACATATACAATGGAGATACCTCATGAAAATCCAGCCTTTATTGGAGATGACGGAAAATCTGCACGCGGCCAATCGAGAGCCTTGCGAAATTCGGATAAAGAGGCAGTAAGTATTGCTGTTTTATGGTTGTAAAATAAAACTCAAAACAAATTTTGTTTTTGTTCAAAAAGAAGCTATCTGAAAATGATTCTAAGAAGAATGAACGCGCCACGTGGGGCAAAGGTGTAGAGTTTCTTTTCTCTTGTATTGCCATGTCTGTGGGACTGGGGAATGTATGGCGTTTTCCTTTTACGGCGCTGGATAATGGCGGTGGTGCTTTCTTAATACCTTATCTAATAGTATTATTTTTAATCGGTAAGCCAATTTATTATTTGGAAATGGCGATAGGACAATTCTCAAGCAGTGGATCAGTGAAAGTATTCAACTTGTGTCCAGCGATGAAGGGTAAGAAAGCATTTTTAGTTACAACTATATTCATTTGTCTCTGTATCTTATGAATTTTAGCTGGAGTACATGCTTGCGTACGTAGTTATATAATATAATACATATTTTATGCATATGTATCTTACAAAAAGTTTAGATACAAGTTAACAGAATTAAATTCAAAATGTAGCATACAAATTGAAGGAAACTGTTTTATATCAATTTGATTGTATGTAGTACGGTTTTCCGGAAAAGTTAACTTATTTAATGAAATATTCTCCTTTAATCATTTATCATTGTTAAAATTTAGAGTCAAGACAATTTTATATGCTATACTAATAACACAGCACCGAATCTAATGCCCTTAGAAAGAAATATGCATGACAGCAGCACTACCTAAGGGATTGTATGATACTCGATATTTCATGTAGAGATTTTAATTACAAAGCAAGTTTTATACTTTCATCATCTTTACCGCTTTTTGTTCAAGCAAATCTTTACTACGTAGCCTCAAAAGATATGCCCAATAAGGGAAAGTTTTACTGTTAGAGTGCTTTCTAATCGCCATAATGACGTTGAAGTATATTGTAGAGTTAATTTTAAAAGGGGTGAAACTCAATATGTGTACATTTACAATACCTTTAACATCTATCAGTTATGTTAGTTGATTTTAAAGCTACTTCTTGATAGCATTGACCACAGACGAGATCTATAGGCATAGTATGTATCTAAAGACAGCCGACTTAATGTAGTAAAACAAACTCTTGTTTTGTTAGTTACAAGGTCATAATCCGAATGAACTGTAGGTATCTACGTATTTGAAATAAATAGATATATTTAAGTACCGTTTCCGCGATGGAACTCGGAAAGAGTTCCTGTGACTTTCACAAATTGTAATTAGGTTAGAAAAAGGTGCTGTGTTCGTATAGATCATACATCTAGTGAACGCCAGGATATGAACATAGTTGATAATATACCGGAAGGCGATATAGTTTATTGTTTTGAAGACGGAACCACTACCTGTATTTATGAAATCAATTTTCAACTAAACGTATATACATGCGTACGTATGTGTACATATGCATGTATGTATATACCTATATCAAGGCATGTTTTTCTTTCAAATCCAATTATTTTAATAGATACGTTCGTAATTTTCTTCGTAAATTCTTTGTGAAATTTGTCATACCATGTAATACTTTAATTTCCTCTCATATTTGTGAATGCTTCTGATCATTTGAAAGGTATTGGCATTGGTCAAGTGTTGTCCATTTCGTTTGTGACCACCTACTATGTGGCCATTATGGGCATGATTGTACGCTATTTGTTTGATTCATTCAAATCCCCGTTACCGTGGACAGTCTGTGACGATGCATGGAGTGAAGCCTGCGTTGCATCTGGCACAATGCCCGTGCCAGAACCCATAATAGAAATTTCAACTGGAGTGTCATCAGTAGTAAACGACAACACATTACATAATGTCAGTACGCTCATAAACGCGAGTGTTATGCCTCATCATACCAAAACCATTTCATCTGCAGAGTTGTACTTTATGTAAGTTTAATATCATATATGTTTCTTAAATAATTACAGTAAGATTGTGTATGTATTACTAACCGACATGCTCAGTAAGATATATTATATTTGTGCTTTCAAAAATGTCCCTGTCATCCATTCAAATCGCTTATTTCCTTGGTATTCAGTTGTAATCAAGCCCCATTTGAAATGCATATGTATCTGATGCTGATTTTACAGTTATTGCGTGAGACATTCATAAATAAAATCGATTTAATTAATCAATAAAAATTGTTTCGAGCCGACATGTCAAATTGAAATATTTTCACAAAACAACTTGCATAAGTACCCTGTCGGAAAAATGATTCAGCACTTTACCAAAAGAGAGAATTTTGTATCGCGATGTTCAGAGAAGAGACAATTCTTTTCCTTTCTTCACTTTTCTATATTTTCGACCATGTTTGGATGTGTGTACGAAGCATTAAAAAATAGGTTGATTAAGAAAAACGATAATGTAAATCGGTTTTGTGATTGAAAGTTTAAAATGTAAACAATCGAACTCACGTCTATAAGAATTAAGAAGTCATGACTCAAACCGCGATTAAAACACAGATGTGTTTTTTTAGAATAAACTTCTATTGTAATTTTCATTTTAATACTAGTAATACTAAACTAAACTAATAGCAACAAGCAAAAGCAATTCAGCTGGCTACTTCGGATTCACAGATAACTCCTAAAGAGGAGACTCCTTGCAGTGGTTCCCAATAGGTCCTTCTTAATTGTTTATAATGTGAATCAAATGGAAGATAAATATATAGTCAAAACAAATAAAACACCAGACAATTACTTCAACTAATCACGAATATAAACTGCTTTATATACCACTTACTAACTGCTTCAGAACAGAAGCAAACCTTACTAGTTTAATTTATATTCCCTGTAATCATTTTAATCTGTAATTTGTGTAAATCCTCGGTATTTTTCAGAGAAAAATTGATTGCCCGACGTAATGAGATTCTACGGTGAACCCGCTTTCGAAAAATTTGTGTAAATCTCATTTCTCACTAGTGCAATTTTAATAAAAAAAGAAATAGTTCTAAACCTATTTTGTGAATAGTTAAATTTTTTATTGGAGGGCGTATGCAAATATAAAATACATTATTGCGCGTTTGTATGCGTGTAAATGTTTGCTCTAAATTCGTAAGTCCCAACCCGAAGTGTAAATTGACTTTTGCGATTGTCTGCAAATTAGTTTGTAAACAAAAAAATATAATTCTTACAAAATTCAACTATCAGCTATCTGTTACCGCTTTACAATGTTCGTCATTGTAAGCACTTGCCATTAAAAAAATATTTCGCATGAGACTAAATATCATCAACAATAATAATATCATGCAATTAACTAAAAAATATATATCGCATGCGACTGAGATATCATCAGTAACTTTATTACTTCTTATTACTTACATATATTATATATCAATGTATATATTCTACTGCCAAATATACTATATAAACTAAATACTGAGGAAATGCCCTAGTTGTGCAATCGGCTAATATATATGTAAGTATACAACCATATGTCTTCATTTAATTCGCTTATAAAAAATTTAGTTTCCTTTTATAATATTTTCTTCCATGCGATTTGTGCCTGAAACCCGTCATTGTATATTCATTTTCGGTGATGTTGCAGATTACGTCGCTGTCATATTGCATACCGCTTTCTAAGTTTTAACCTTATTTTTTTAACTTGTAATTTCGTTTTTAGTTCATATCCCTAAAACACATATGTATGTATATTCATATCATATCTACAAGAGTGTATGTACACGCTTGTTTAAATTTACATTCTATTTGCATCTAACACGTTCAAGGTATTGGCTTAGGGCAGGCTTTCATGGTATACCTATTGGCTACATATTACGAGTCCATATGTGCACTTATCGCATACTATCTGGTGCAATCATTCCGTGACCCGCTGCCCTGGTCCTACTGTCGACCGGAGTGGGGATCGAATTGTTTTGATTCTGCGCCTCGTAGTTGGCTCGATGGAGCCAAATTCATAGACACAGTTCGAACTGGCAATTGGAGTTTGGTTTACAGTAATCTAACAAAGGACTATAATAAGCGCATAATCTCGAGTTCGGAATTTTATTTTGTGTAAGTTACACCTAAGAGTTTATGGAAATTGTTTTTTTTAAGGGTTGCGGATTAAAATAATATCATTAGCTAATTTTTTGTCTGATTTAATCAAACTTGAATAACTGTAGCAAGGATGTACTGCGCGAGAAGGATAACATTGACGACGGTATTGGTTTGCCGAACTGGGAGCTGGTGTTAGGACTTCTTGTATCGTGGACAACAATATTTTTGGTTGTACACAGAGGTGTGAAAAGTTCAGGCAAAGCTTCGTATTTTTTGGCTTTATTTCCCTATGTAATCATGGCTGTGTTATTGGTGCGCGCAGTCACTTTACCAGGTTCCGCGGACGGCATAATCTTCTTTATAAAACCCGATTGGAGCAAAATTCTGGATCCTAAGGTGTGTACATACGTGAATGCATTGACCAATGTAATCTAAGTAATCATTTTTTAGGTTTGGTATGCCGCCGTCACTCAGTGCTTTTACTCACTATCCGTCTGCTTTGGTAACATAATCATGTACGCTTCGTACAACAAGTTTGATCATAACATCCATCGCGACGCAATGATTGTCACCACATTGGATACGTTCACATCCCTTATTTCGGGTTTTACCATATTTGGCATTTTGGGTAATTTGGCCTATGAAATTGGTACGGATGACATCGGCACAGTAGTTAAAGGTGGCACCGGACTTGCATTTATTTCGTACCCGGATGCGATTTCCAAATTCAAAACGTTGCCGCAAATATTTTCAGTACTGTTCTTCCTGATGCTCTTCATTCTTGGCATCGGTTCAAACATAGCAATGACATCATGTACCATAACAGCAATACGAGATAACTTTCCCCACATTAAGCAATGGCACTGTGCTTTGGCTATATCCGTTATTAGTTTCTTTATTGGGTTAGCCTATGTGACACCGGTAAGAAAGTCAGTTATAACAAAGTTCCTTATGTTTAGTTTGTCGTATACACTTCTAGGGAGGCCAATTTATATTGACTTTGGTGGACTTCTATGGCGCTTCTATGATCGCGCTGATTTTAGGCATACTGGAGCTCTATGTTTTGGGTTGGGTTTATGGCGTGGATCGGCTATGCACGGACATCGAATTCATGATAGGACATAGAGTAGGCAACTATTGGCGTTGGTGTTGGGCACTTATCACACCCGGCATTATGACATTGATTCTAATTTACTTTTATGTGACATATGAATCGTTAACCTACAACAATGTTCATTATCCAAGCTGGGCGTATGGTAAGTGCATTGTAAACTCTTACATAAGAATTAAAATGCCAAAAATATAATTTATTTTGTCTGCAATTTCAGCATTGGGTTGGACAATTACTGCCTTGGGTGTTCTCCAAGTTCCAATATGGGCAATAGTGGCTATTATACGCCAACCAGGAGAAAGTTTAACCGAAAAAGTCCATGGTGCGTTCAGACCCGTAAGCAACTGGGGTCCATCAGATCCCTTACTTCGGGAACAATACAACAAAGATCTGGTACACGACAACGACTCGAGTAACATAAGTTGCTGGAGTAAAATCAAGAAGAACTTAACTGGTTAACCATTTTGATCAAGTGATTTTTAAAACAGCGGGTGCTGTTTACGGCTTGCCAAATTTTTGTGTTATAGAAATTAAAATAAATATTAAAACTTATTATCTAAATTATCTTAAAAATGTACTTACCATAATTTTAAATACTTCGCCAGTACAAGCTTTAAATAAAACATTTTTCAAAACTTTTTAACAAATACCAAATGCTACCTATTATTTATTAAATTTAATAATATTAAAAGCACAAAAGACTATTTAGAAATTATGAAGATATGTACAGATGTAGCTTATGATTCCCATATCTTTGTAAGTGCATTTATTTTTGTATATACTTGCCAGCTTCAGCATCAAGTATGAGCAGTAGTTCACCATTTTTAGGCGAAACTTTTCCAGCTGGTAAATCCTCCATATCAACGAACACACGCTATGTTTAACAAACGAAACAAGTTTATTTGAATTGTTATTGTTATTATTGGCAATACTCACTTTAACCATTTCTGCTTTGCTTGTACCGCACATAGCAAATATACAACACTTGGCATTGTTGATAAGCGGCAAGGTCATCGTGACCCTCTGTGGCGGCAGTTTAGGTGAATCGGCAATGGGTGCTATCAATAATGTTTTCTCATCGAGTAGCGCGTGTTCGGGAAATAACGAGCAGGTATGACCATCAGGCCCCATCCCCAGAAGTAACAAATCAAACTCAGGTACTGAACCAACGCTTGCACCGAACTCTGCTCTTATTTTTGTCTCATAATCAGCGGCGCATTCTGCCAGTGGCAAATTCACGTTAATTGGTTCAAATTGATGTAACTGTAGTTCTGTTTGTGGCACCAGTTTAATTTTATAAGTGCCGTAAGTTGATTCCGGATCTGTTTCATCAACATATCGCTCGTCACAGAAGAAAAATTTCCATTTACTCAAGTCAGTTTGAATACGTGGAATTGCTTTGCTTAGGAAATTTAACACGGAACCACCTTAATAATTAAAACATATTTTACAGTTATATTGTTTAAAGCAGGGTATAGGTCGGTTTACAGAATAAGAGTTATAAGGTCACTCAAGTATACAAACATTGCTGCTTAGCAACCATTAAGAACAAAAAACAAACGCACCTGAGAGTCCAACGCGAAAGACGCCCTTTTCAACAATTGCTTTTTTCGCGCATTTCGAAATTTCGGTTGCAAGTCGCTTGATCACCTCTAATTCATTGGCCACAACAATTTTTGACATTACTTCAATATATAATATACCATGGATTTCTAATATTTAACTTCGGAACACGTACGCGCCGCTGTATCTATCTTCAATGTAGTTCGATAATTTGACAATCAGCTGTGAAAATAAGCTTTGACCACTTGTTGCTTGTCATTGGCGATAAGTCGTTCCAGTGAGCAGCAACACATATGTATGCACATATCTAAATAAATACTTATGTGTGGAATACAATGCTCGCGACAGACTGCAAACGACATCTGTCAAATATTAAAATACACACGTTCTTATCGACGGACCTGGTTTGACAGCTGCACGACTACACGACGGCAGGCCGACAGTTGTCGTTCTCGCTAACTTCAATTTTATCCTATATTTGCCAACGACAGTAATACGACAGAAGAGTTGACAGTAGAATGGTAGATAGAGAGATGAGGTAGAGTGGTGATGCCACTGCCACAACAATTGATAATTTAAAACAAACAAATTTACCTATTTACTTATTTTTTGCTTAAAAAGTTCACTTTGAACGAAATATTAAAATTTCATTGAAGTGCAGGTATTAGTATGGCCACAACGAAATTGTGTACATGCAAAATGTTCAACTGAGTTGTTTTGTGTATATACCGGCCATTGTTATGTTGCTGCCCTCTTTCAAACGTTCTTGTAGTAGGGTTCACAACGGCATTTGAAGTTCACTGTCGTGCTGCTGCAGTCTGTCGCTAGCATTGTGTTCCACACGTTATACTCTTACAAATTCATATAAATAATATAATAAGCAGAGCGAGTAAAAAAGCTTTTTCATATGAGCTTTGCGAAAAAGCTACTGAAGAAGCTTACTAGACAGACAAATGAGAAAAATTTAATCGAAACTAAACTTTAAAAACTTGTAAAGCACAAAGGAATAAGTTTATGTTTATATTCATTTCGTAGATAATAAATAACGGCACAACGAGAACGATTTTTCAAATCGATTCATAAAGATTACAAGTATGCCGATTACTTTGGCAGCCGGGAAAAAAGCACGAATTGCGGTATAAATGGGGTATGCACGTATAGGAGAGCTTCTCCAGAGATGGAATAATATGCAAAAATAATGTTGCCAAAACATATATTTTTTTAAATATTCCCGATTAAAAGTTTAAAAATTTGCATGGTAAATGTTCAGGAGAGCGGCTTTTCCGAAAACGTACACCAATTTTCACGGGAAATGTCTTAAAATTCGTGTTTTTAATTCCGATTTACGAATATATATGGCGCGTTATCTAATTTTATGTTTTTTCGCAAGAAAAAGCAAGACAAACTTTACAATAAAACGAAAATGGCAGGGCTATGCACGATATAAATGGCACCACTTTTTGCAATTAATTTGGGCACAATTGGTCAATGGCACAACTTTTCGAAATTAATTTCGACACAATTAGTGAATGGCCTCATTGTTTTCGAAATATCGATACTTTCGATATTCGGTAATGACAAGAATTGTTCAAATGAGAATTACGTTTCAAAAATAACTGTGTATGTTATTCGCTTGAGTATAAAATTTTAAATCTAGTGATATAGATTATCAATTTGGATTCGCTGTATATGATATTGAGATATTATATAAAAATTAAGGTAAATATGTAATTTAGGTCCTCCAATGAAGGAGGATAGGAATGTGTTCAATGTTATTCATATACATATGTGCGTTACAGGAAAGTTTTCATTCGTTGACTGCGCCTTTAATTGAGGTAAATATTATATATAATTTAGGTCCTTCAACGAAGGAGGACGCGTAAATGAAATGATGAGTGGAATTTCAACACACTTTGCACACATTATTCTTTTGTGTCGAACTTCTTTGTCCGTTGGCCGACCGGTCGGTCCGACCAGGGTTATTTTTTTTGAAGCGCGACATGGTCGCCAACGCACAACGGAGATCTACACGAAAAAAACATGTGCAAAGTGTGTTCATTTTTTGTAAAAATCGATTTACTTTCCACTCACGATATTCTCATCTTTGCGTCAAAATAAAACGATTTAGTGTATTCTAATATTATATTAAGTTAACTTTTTTATAAACAGAACATGTCTGACATGCCCATCAGCAGTTGTTCTGGATGTAACGTCGACTTGCGGAACTTCATCAAATACACTGATGAAGAGTTGCGGAATTTTCTGTCCGAACACAATCTAGTTTTGGCAGAAAAAAAAATGCCCAACATGCAACGAGACGTGTACGTTAAGTCCGGATTCCTTTTGGCGTTGCCAGCGCAGCAAAAAGTTTCAATTAGCAAACAGAAAATACAACGTCATTCGCTGCTCATTTAAGCAAAGCTTATTTAAAAATACGTTCTTTGACAACACAAAATTGTCAACGCGCGACATTTGTGATTTTATAGTTTTATTTATAACGACAAATCCTCCAAGAAATACATTTTTGTCGAACGTGTTGCATTTTGGAAATGCGACATTGGTTGACTGGAGTTCCTTTGTTAGGGAAGTATTGTTCGAATGGGTCCTCAACAATAGTTCCGAAAAATTAGGGGGGGAGAATACAATTGTAGAAATCGATGAGGCCAAAATGGGTAAGCGAAAATACAACCGAGGCAGAATGGTTGAAGGACAATGGGTTTTTGGCGGTTTTGAACGCAGTAGTAAAAAAGTGTTTATAGTAGCTGTTGAAAGCCGATCAAAAAATTCACTTTTAAAAATAATCACAGAAAAAATTTTACCCGGAACCACCATCATTTCCGATTGTTGGAAGGCATACGATTGTCTCAACGATAAGGGTTTTCGGCATTTGACCGTAAATCATTCGTATAATTTTGTAGACCCCGACACTGGTGCACACACGCAAAATATAGAAAGGATATGGCGTGAAGTGCGCGCAAATATACCAAGGTACGGGCGAAAAGAGACCCATTTCCCAGGGTATTTAGCCGAATTTTTTTTTAAGCGTAGATTTGCTAGTCATGGGGAAAGAATCCATGAAATTTTTGAAACTATAGGGAAATTATACAATCCACATTCGCTTGAATAATAAAAATTATATTTGTAAGTTTTGTTTGAGTGACTGAAATTATATTTTTAAGTTTTGGTTGAATGATTTAAATTATATTTTTAATTTTGTAAAAAAAATATATTTTTTTTCATTAAATGAAAATACATATTGTTTTTAACCGCATGCGACCTTTTTATTGTTTAGTGCAATAATTACATGATTAATAAGTAAGTAATCCAATTTTTTAAATAAAGAAATAACGATTGAAAACATTTTCCTGTATGTTCTTCCCATTTTATCAATTATCGTTCATTATCGACTGTATCGATATTTCGAAAACCACCATTGCATTGAACAGTTGTGCCAAGTTATTTTAAAAAGGGATGCCATAATTTCGAACATGACCTTGCCATTTTTGTTGAAGTGAAGTGAAGCGATTGTGTTTTTCATATTTTTATAAAAATAACATAAAAACCAATTTCTCTTTTTGAAAAACTAACCAACATCAATAATTACCTATATATAAGTGATAGAAAATATTTTTTTAACATTTAACGACGTGTAAAGTGTAAAAGTAAATTTTTCATTTTTTGAAATACGATGTTTTCTTATTAAAACAGAGAAAATATTAGTTTTAAAGGCACGCGCCATACATATTCGTGAAGTAGAAGTGAAAACGAGTATTTTAAGACATTTCCCGTGAAAATTGGTGCACGTTTTCGGAAAAGCCGCTCTCCTGAACATTTACCAAATATACACTCCAAACATTGAAATAAGTTCATATTTCACTTTTATTTTATTATATTTAAGCTAAATTTATTAATTTAAAAATCACTTGGCACACTCATCGCTGAAAAGGTTAGATTGTTTACATTTATGAGGAAAGCGAGCGTTGCCACATCTTAAACACCAAATATGTAGGATTTTCAACGATTTTTCTTTGTTTGTATTTTCGCGTTATTCTTGTTTCTATATTAACTATAATAAAAAATACTTCACAAGATTTTTCAAGCTGTCAAGTGTGAAAATATTTTCCTTATACATATGTATGTATATGTATACTATGTGATTTATATTTAATAAATAAATATAAGTAAAACTCTATGATAATATTATAAAACTTATATCATATCGAGGTGACGGAAGTGCTTTTGCGTAGTGTTTCTTTAAACCTCGAAGTATTTTATTACATAATATTATTATTTAACATTACTAAGTTGTTTATTAAATTTAAATAAGAACATATCTATATGCATGGAAAGATTGTTTAGACTCATTATACCCTGAATAGTTTGTCACGAAGTTTGTAACACCCAGAAGCAAGGGTCGGAGATTTAGCCATGTTCGTCTGTCTGTCGGTCGGTCTATATATATACGAACTAGTCCCTCAGTTTTTAAGATATTGTTTTGAAACTTTACAAACATCATTTTCTCTTCAAGAAGCTGATCATTTGTCGGAACTGCCGATTTCGGACTACTATAAGATATAGCTGCCATACAAACTGAACATACAGTTACTAACACCTGTGAAGGGTATTTAACTTCGGTGCAACCGAAAAATAATTATATGAAATATAATTTATAGGAGTAGATGCTTGTTTTTATTAGAACTAAGATTGCTAAATAAAGAAAGAGGAATTATAGCGAAAAAGAGAAATTTCAGCGAATTGCTCATATTTGCTTATTATCATATGAGAGTGCTCCATGTCCTCATAATTGTTAGCACATAAATGATGCTCACTACAAGTGTAAAAAAGTAATTCTTAAAATAAAAATTTCTTAGATAAAAAAGATGCAAAAAGTGTAAAATGTGGATTTATTTAAATGTTGATGGTTTAATTTAATTCATTCAAAGTAAAAAATGAACGTAAAGTGTGTTTACTTTAGGGAAATAGCTTGTTGAAATGTTCGAATATTGGGGAGGACTTCCTCTTTCCAAGGGCACCTTCAGATCGCGGCGCCAAAAAAATCGGAATTGTGCCAAAATAGGTTAGCCGTAGTAGGTTGTGAGAAGTGATGGGGTTGTGCAAAGTAACTGAAAATTATACGAAAATTGTTGCATATGAATATCAATCTTAAAGTTCCACAAAATTTCATAAAACCATAATTTAAAGTACAAATAATACTTAAATAATAATAATAATATTTATACCAAAATATACATACATACATACATAAGAAATATACTAATGTTTTATACATATGTACATAAGAGCGAGTCGATTTACTGGGAAACAAAAATGGAAAAACTTGCGTATGCGGCAAATGCTCTACGAATAATTCTAAACAACTTTGCCTAGGGGACTATGAGTCTAAAACCGGATCATTGGTGATGTCAGTTCACTAGCAACCAGTGTGCAGTAGATTGAAATTATCACCGATCTATCGAGGATGCGACGGTTTACGACTATTATCCTTTGGTTTATTTCCACAGATATGCGTTAATATTTATCCTAAGATCTTAACCCGACAACCAATTCAAGTTATGCTCGCAAAAGTCAGGGCGGCTACTAAAAAAAAAAATTAAATAACTTTTTTTCTATTTAATGAATCTGGTAAATTTTTTTTTTATTTTGCAGATTGACTTTTACATTTAACAAAAATGGATAACTGGGACACTGAAACAAGAATTTGGAGTGTCCGCCGCTATCACGCACTGGAGTCCGTAGTTTCGGTTCAAAGAGGGTGTAGACGCACGTTTGGCGGCAATCCTCCGAGCAGATGGACCATAATGAGACTTGTAAACAATTTTGCCGAGCATGGGGCAGTCAACAGAAGACCTTACCATCGAAACACTTCAGTTCGAACGGAGGAAACAATCGCTGCTGAAGCTGCTGCCATACACAACAATCCACGTGTTTCGACAAGAAGCTTATCTGCTCAAATGGGTGTAAGCAGACAGTCCATTACAGTCAATTATGCACAAAGATTTGGACTTATTCCCATACAAAATTGAAAATGGCTAACAAACTGAACGCTGCAGACTTGCCGATTCGCTTGGAATTTTGCCAGACGATGCTTCAAATGGTGGAAGAGGATGGAAACATGTTGAATTGTTTTTTCATGTCTGACGAGGCCCATTTCGATTTAAACGGCAACATAAACAGACAAAATTGTCGAATATGGAGTGCTTCCAACCCACAGATACTGCATGAGACGGAATTGCATCAACTTCGTGTCACAGTGTGGTGTGCAGTTTTATCACGCTGCTTTGTCAGGCCTTACTTCTTCGAAGAAAACGGTCACAAGGTTACGGTTACTGGAGAGCGTTACTTGAGCATTTTGAGAGAGTTATTCTATCCAGAATTACGCCAAATGAGAATTTCTTTCAACTCTGTGTGGTTTCAGCAAGATGGTGCAGCTCCTCACATAGCCCAACCTGTTATGACAGAATTGCGACGAAAATTTCCCAATAAGCTGATATCCAGAAACTTCACATTCCGTTGGCCACCCAGGTCGCCTG